TTGCCCCATTAGTTCCATTTATATGGACATTCTTAAAGCACATGCAAATACTCATGTAGAAGTATCATCTGCCATCCTTAATCTGATCATGGATATGTTTCCTTTTGCTTAGACATACCTGATCATTCAGCCTGTTTACTTATAAATTAATGTTTGTTATCACTGATAATGCAGTATTGTGTATGTAAAAGTGTTTATCATTGTTGTCTGTATCTCTTGTGCACCTCTCTGTGTCTTCCTTTTCCTTAGTGTTACTGTGTTAGTCACTTCATTTGGTATATTCCCTTTCCCTTCACCCAAATCAGTACTTGTCTCTTACCTATCTAGCAGTTTTCTCTCCCCTTCCCTCCCATCCCTGATAACCAACAAAGAAAATTTCCTTCCATATATAAACCTTTCCTTGACTTTTTACAATAATGAGCTAATATAATATTTGTCCTTTTGTTATTAACTACTTTTACTCAGCATAATATCCTCCAAGTTCATCCATGTTAGGTGGTGTTTTGCAGATTCTGACATTATTCTTTAGTGTTGCATAGTATTCCTTTGTGTGTTTATACCATAGTTTGGTTATCCATTCTTCTGTCGATGGGCACTTGGGATGTTTCCATTTCTTTGCTGTTGTGAATAGTGCCTAGTCATTCTTCTCTGAATGCTTTTTAGTTGTTTGTGGTTGGCCAGGCATTCTCTAGACTGTTCCCTATTAAGATCTCAAATGCTTCTAGTTCTTTGTTCTTTAACCTTAAACTGTCCTTCCTCTCATGGCTTCATATGCCTCAGTGACAGTAGATATGAGACAACTTCATACACTAATAGAAGTTAGGTGGCCATGTAAAACTTGTTTAGCTTGTGGAAATGCCATTGAGTCCAGACAGCATCTTAAAAAGAATATTTTCCAAGTAGGCCATTGCTAAAACGGCAAGGAGGCCACATGTTCTGACCTCCTCTAACCCTACAAGGGGAAGGCAGGATTACCAGCAGTAACCCAAGGCCTATTACTGCAAGGCCAAACATGCTGCCTCCCTCCAGCCCTTTCACCAACCGTTCCTCCCAAAGCACCCACCACCTTTCTCCTGGGTT